GAACAATAAAACGATTAGTTATTGAAAAAGAACTTCTAAAAGAGTATCATTTCTTTATTGGATTAAATCTTTCAGTTTGTTTGACAATTTTCTTCCAAAGTTCATTTGTTCTTGATTTCATTTTTCAATATAGAAAAATAATTTATTCTTTTTCACAATAAGATATACAATCGATTGAACTTTATCATTGTATATTTTAACGAATATTTTTTCAATGACAATTGTTCTTATTCAACCTCATCAAATCCAAAAAAAATTAAATCATTTTGTAGAAATTTCACCGATGGTCAAAAAACAAATGTTTTTTCTGGGTTTAGTTGGAGTTTTATCGTTTGTGATGGTTTTTTTATTCAGTCAGTTGAAATCTTTTTGATTTTGTAACTGATACAATTGATAGTAGTTTAGAGAAAATAGTACGTTAAGATTGTGCGTTGTCAATAGATTGCGTCGATTAATGCATAATTGCTGAATTGTATCATCTAATATAGTTAATCGATCAGAAATATATGTATGTCCTTCTAATTTTAGTGACAGATGAGTAAGTTGATTAAATACAGATGATAAGAGCGTGGGCGTGTGGGTAGGTATGGGTCTAATTCTCCGGATCTGAATAAGTCACAACCTCACCCACACCCACAACCTTTATAATTGTACGGAAGATATTTGCCACGTCTTCTGTTATTAGAAACACTGCTGGCAATGCATTTTTATTAAATTTGTTGAATGTATACAGGGTGTCCCAAAAATCCGCCGAAAAAGTAAATTTGTAGAATTTCATTATTTATCGTATACAATCAGCTAATGTATTTTTTCGATGATAGGTATCAGTGTGAAGTTGTTATTTGCACGGACGAACTTCATAAATATTGTTCAATGTTATAACTTTGGACTAAAATACAAAAAGCACTCCTTCTTTCGATTTCAAAAAAAGCATTTTGCAATGTTTCTCTTTTAATACTTTAATTTGTCGCGTTTTTTGTGACAATTATATCGTCTAGATTTTTCTCTATCGTTTATAGGCATTTGCTGTGATATATAACTGAAAAAATAAGTCTAATGGTGTCAAGCTCGATGATCATGAAGTCCATAAGATTGCGTTAACTTTTGGAACGAAAACTGGTGAATTGGAAGAGGTAAACTGAGATCATGAGCTTTCTGATCATCGACCTTGGTATTGTCAGGCTTATTTTGGTAGTAATATGGCACAACAAATGCATTTAAACGATAAAGAAAAATCTAGACGATATAATTGTCACAAAAAACGCGACAAATTAAAGTATTAAAAGCGAAACATTGCAAAGTGTTTTTTTTTTTAAATCGAAAAAAAAGGGGTGTTTTTTGTATTTTAGTCCAAAGTTATAACTTTGAACAGTATTTATGAAGTTCATCCGTGCAAATAAAAACTTCACACTGATACCTATCATCGAAAAAAAAACATTAGTTGATTGTATACGATAAATAGTGAAATTCTACGAATTTACTTTTACGGTGGACTTTTGGGACATCCTGTATTTTGGACAGTTCATCATGAGATATTTTTAAAACTCTAAAGATGTTTAATATTGATCATTTACGAGACTCTATCGTACATTTGGTCCCTGACGAGATGAATAAATACATAGAAATCTGTTTTTTCATGATCTGATTTTGCGGAATATTTTAATGTCGGTTTAGTGAGAGCTGATTTTGTGACTCTTTTGACAATCGAATAATCAGTTGCAACTAATCATGAAACAACTATCGAAGAAGGTTATTGTTACGCTCATAATCTTGAGTATGGGTGTGGGTCTTCAATGACTCGACATCCTCCCACACCCGCATCCGAAACGTATTAAATCAGAAATAGTTTATATCCAAGAGTATATTGATATTTAATGTTCTCTTCTAAATTAGTCATAGATGTGATTAAATAGTTCTATTCATCAAATATTTATTGAAGAATCTTCAAATAAAAATAATAAATTAAAATGTTAAGCAAATAAATTTCTTAAAAAATATTTTTTATTCTTTGATCAATAACGATTCATTTATTGATTTTTGTTCGATTTATAAAAGCATGTTTGCATATATTCATCGTTCCATACTTTAAGTTAATGTTACTCTAGTGAAAATATTATTTTACCTTATGTTTTTTTGACTAATTGTCGTTATTGATTTATAAAAGACTTTTTGTATAGAATTATAGTCAAATATCAAAAGAATTCTTTAGTATGTAACGCTTCGTTTTTTATCTAATCAATAATAACTATTTATTATCTTTGATAAGAAAATAATTTTAACTGATAATGCAAGGGCATGTACTATTGAGCAAAAAAGATAGACCATGTTCGATTGAAATGATCACTTTCATCGAGGAACTAACGAATTTAAAATATATGCTGCTGATGGTGTACTTTGACAAAGATATTCTATTTTTAAGGTATTTATAGTGCATGTAATCAGTCCATAATTTAACATTTTACCAGAAGTTCTTTTTCTTTCTCCGTTATGGTTAGATAGAGTTCATCGAGTTGCATAAGAAAAAGTATGTTTCAAAGTTAAAAAAAAAAAGGATATTTTACGAAATTCCTAATTTTGGATCTCTTTTCCCAAATATTTGAAAATAATGGTTTAATCAGAGTTACCAGATTTTCTGGAAAAAAAAAGAAAGTTTCTAAATTTTGAAAATTTTCTGTTATTCTTCCGAATTTTGAACTCTTTATGTCATAGTTTCCTTACTTACGTAAAATATGATTGTAACTAATTGCTAAAATGGTGCTCAACTGAAATAAGACTGAATAGTGATTATTCTTGTGAACAACTTTTATAACCACATTTTAACTCTAACACACTGGTTAAAGCAAAATCAATCGAAAAATACAAAATATGAACAATAATATCGAATCAATATTATATAATATATTTTTCTTTTGTAAAATTTCTTATTCTGCATGATATATATTTAGTTTGCTTTAGTATATTTTTTGTGAAAGAAATTCAAGTCTAATGAACATGCTAACCAATAAGTTGCAAAAAGAAATACTATTTCTGAATTTCAAGCTTTTGATCTGTCAACCTGGGGTATCATAGACTCAAAATTGTGAATTTCGTAAGATACCTTTTTTTTAACTTTAAACATACTTTTTCTTATGCAACTCGATGGGTTCTATTCAACCATAACGCAAAAAAAAGTTCTGATGAAATGTTAAATTATGGACTAATTACATGCATATAAATACCTTAAAAATCGAATATCTTTGTCAAGGTACACCATCAACAACTCATATTTTAAATTCATTAGTTTCTCGGTGAAACTAATCATTTGACCCAAATATGGTCTATCTTTTTGTTCTACAGTACACGCCCTTTCATAATGAGTCTAATAGTGAAATTAGTTAATCAAAATACGACATTCTTTTTTTTTATGGCTATGTTAATAATTGATACGAAATCAAGTTATTATCAAACAGATGTTTATAATCGATTAAATTCATTGAAAGAATTGACATTATCAACAAAGAATAGACTTTTTTATTTCTTTTTATGTAATAAATATTTTATAACAAGGGTTAAATAATAAGAGAAAAAAAAAACTAAGACATTCCCATAATCGAACTGTCGAAAAACAAATTTTTTGAAATGAATTAGTACGAATTATATTTATTTATTAGTAAATAACAGTTGAAATAAGAAGACTATATATAGAATTATATTCAAATATAAATAAAATCGATTAATGAATAGATTCAGTTAATATTGATGATCGTATAGGTTGACATGATGATTGTTCTTGTTGTTGTGGTTGTTGTAAATTGGTTGTTCTATTTGATAAAATCATAGATAATGATTGTTCATATTTATCATGTAAACGATGTTGAAATTTAGAAAAATTTTTTCTTTGAATTTTAAATTGTTTTTTAAATTGTTTAAAATTAAAAGATTTTTTACGTATTAAAAATGAATATCGTCTTCGATAATAATATTTATCTTTTAATAAACGAGCTTTAATTTGTATTTGAAGATTTTTATTAATTAATTTTTTTGCTTCATTTTTAAGTCTTTCACTTTCTTTTTGTAAATCAATATTTCTTAATAATAATTCATTTAATTCATTATCTTTATTATAGAAATAAACAAAATAAATTTATTTCAATGAAATTATTTTTTTTTATAACTTACGAATTTGTTCAATTAATTGATTATCTTGTTCAGGTTCTGTATTAGAATCAACTTTTTCATCATTGATCTAAATCAAATAAATAAATAGAAAGAAAAAAAGAAAAGTCAAATTTGGATTATTTTATTTACTAATTGTTCTCGACACATGATCTTTTATATAATTATCTATGAAAAAACAAAAAGCCCAAATATATACCCTTCATTGACTTTTAACACGTGATACGTTTTATTTGCTTGAAAGCATTCAGACAATTGTCTATGCTTCACTGATTATATTAAACAAATAACAAACACAAAACAAACAAATGTCAAAACATATTATATCAACTTATTGTTAAACAAACCCAAAAATCTACTATTTATTTAAATATCGTCTATTTGCCTATCATCTTGGATATTATTCTATCATTATAATATATTATATGTTTATGATCAACTTCATATTGAATTTATTTATAGATATTAGTAATTGCTTATTTCACAATAGACCATTCATAAAACGGCCTACAAAGAAAAAAAATGTTTTTTTTTTACTCCGATGATACTAGTGTTTGACGTCACCAACTTTTTTAGTCACAGTTATTCTTTCTAGTTTATCGTCAGTCGAAATATTTTTCATTGAATGATCTTGTTTTCGACTAAATACTCAAGACAGAAGACTGACTTGACACAGAGCTCTTTCGTTCAATGCCTTCTCATTCCTTTTGAGACTAACTAATGACAAGAGCAGCATCTATATCATAATCTAGTCATTATACTATCAGATAGATAATGTGAAATAAATAGCCGTTAGTGAATGATTCACGATGATTTAATGCTACTGAAATTTTCATTTCATAACTTGTAAATACGTATCAAACAAGTTAATTACGAAACCATGATGATTCATATGAATATGTTTAATTATTATTTTCTAAATGATGTTCAAAACGAATATTAACTTTAAAATGATTAAAAACAAGAATATTAAGATAGATCTAAGATAATAATTAATTTTTGTAAATATGATTATCATCTGAAAAAAGTTTATGCTTTAGTTTTTAGAAAATAATTATTAAAATAGTGAAGTTCTTTTTTTGTTTTCATCACTTTTTTTTTCTACTTTGTTCAATGTAATTTCAATAACGATATGATTATTCAATTCATTAATTTAAAGTCATCAATTTTTGTTCTATATCGTATAATAACTGATGTATAAGGGAAAAAAAACTCGAGAAAATCTTCATTATCTATGAAATTGTTTGATTTATGTTAAGAAAATAATAAAATTCAATAAATTATATCTGATTGTAATTAAAACATGTTTGTAATCAATGATATACTCAGAATAAACAGTATCTTTCGTTAATATCTTCTAATATAAATAAAATATGTTATTTCGAACAAATCATCATTGAATAATAACAATAATAATTCAATTTTCTTATTGAAATAAATAAATAAATAATAGTGTTTAAACGAGATATAATTAGTTATAATTAATCTAAACATTTACTAAATTCACAAAAATATATTTTGAAATGGTTATTATAAACAAAAAAAAGGAAGTGAATTGAAGAGTAAAATGTGATGAGATTAGATAATAATTGTGAATAAGGTTGACGAATATATTAGTCGACTATTGACAACTACTTATGAATTCTACGGGGTTTATTTTGTTGTATGCACGTTTTATGCATATGTTGTTATCGTGCTTAATCGTTAAGTAAATAATAAAACAAATACTAACGAAAACGAATTAAGACGATTGATGAAAATCAATATCATATATTCTCTCATTTGAAATTTACTAATGTCGTCTAGCAAAAGAATAAATCATATACGAATTAAATTTTTACTTCAAATATCATTTTACTTATTGAACAATATATATATATATATGACGTTATCATATTAAATTACTCTCATATTTCAAGTATTTAACATCTTATTTATGCAATATTGTTCGAACAACTATTTTTCAATTTTGACATCGAATTCATTTTTCTTCTTATTTTTTTTTTTGCTTGACATGTAAGATAATCAACTATTGTACAATATGCATTTTTAAATAATCTTTCTCTTAGGTTAAAAAAACGCCCTTTACTTATGAATACTAATGAACTAAAAAAAGAAACTTTTCATAAAGGTTACAGATTAAAACATCATGCGTAGTTGTCTTTTTTTTACTTAACGGAAGTATATATCAATATATAAATATTAACCTATTGAATAAAACAAGAAAATTTTTATGATTTTTTTTTTTTTTAGTAGTAAACTTGATTGATTTGGAATAAATGACATTAACTGATATAAGTACACATTCACCAAAATTAACTCATAGTTTTTCTATGATTGATGATTTAAATAATAAAGATCATCATCGAAAATTTAAACGAATAAATCGATCAATATTTAATTTATTTTCATGGCATCGACAAACAAATATTTTAAGAAGAAAAAATAAAAATTTAGATTTAAAACAAAATAATTCATATTTATATCGTCCATCAATAATAACAACAACATCAGAATTATCAAGATCTATATCAAATAAATCAATAACATTTGCATCCGTTTTTGATGAATTAGAAGATGATTATATTCAGAAAAATAATCATTCGGTAAGATTTTAAAAAAAATCTATTTTAAACAATTTTATGTCGTTTTTTTTATTTATTTTAATTAGAATTTAGATATAAATACATCAGGAGATAATGAAGATCTTGTTATTGTTGTTGAAAATAAATATATTGATAATCAATTAAATACAAATAATTCAAATGAAACTAATGAACCTTATCCATTTCGATCAGAAATTCCATTAGATTCACTTACAAAATTAAATAAATCTTATTCAAAAAAGAAATTCTTTGATCATTTAATAGATTATCATCGTTCAAAAAAAATTCATCATCCTGTTCAATTAATTAATACAATTGATCGATCTAAATCTGAACCTAATTTATTTATATCATTATCATCAAATCCAACAACAACAACAACAACAACAACAAATGATCATTATCAATCATTAAAAACATTTCGTCAATGGATTAAATCATCATCAATTGGTCAATTTATTCAATCATTTATTAAAAATCAAAATCGAAATTCAAATACTTCAATTAAAAAACATTTTAAAAAAAAATCTTCTCGAAAATCAACAATATCAAGAAAATATTCTGATCTTATTTATTAATATATATTATTAATTTATTTTATCTGTAAATAAATAATTCTATTATACATATTTAGAATTGTTATAATTTATTACATATTTATGTCGATTATTATCAATTTGTAAATAAAACATCTTAGACAATATCAAATACTATTCAATTTAATCGAAAATATTTAGAAAACAATACATTTTATTTTAGACCTTTTTTTTTTTTATTTATAAATTAATATACATTCGTTATGCTCATACACGACATATAGTTTCACTAAAAAATGAATTTATTTATTACCGGCAAAGATCATTTTATATAGATGTAAATAAAGATATTTTTAAAAACTCCATACTAATAGATCATTACATTTCAATTTGAGATATTTATTGAAATAGAGAAAAATACTATATAAATGTCAATATCATTATTCATAGAATATTTCTGAACAAGACATTAATGTCTCTTTGTCTCCGATCATCTGTCCGATAGTATGCTAGTTGTTATAATTATTATCTAGAAGCTTTCACAATGTAACATTACTTTATGCAAACAAGTAATTGTAAAAGCAGTAGAAATTTACGAGTGAAAACTACTATAAACTGATTTAAACGAAACAGTCCTACTATATATTCAAAATATATTTCAAGATTCGAAATATTTCAAAAATATTCATGCATGTTGACCAAAACTTGTGTACATGTTTGAATACTATTGTTGACAGCTATCATTTTTATCAGGTAAAATACAATTGTATCAGAATATTTGACTTTCATAAGATTCATTTATCTAAGATATCAATCTATAAAACGTATCATTAGATTATTTTTCTTGCCTAAATATCCATCAATACTTAAGGTAATAGTCGAAAATTGTGACTGATCATTGACTATAGTTGAAGTTAACTTAACAATGTCACTAGTCATGACGTAATAATCATGAAAATTAATACTACTCATTGAGATGACCATGATTTACAGAATCCAAAGTCAATTATACTTCTCAGTTACATTGCAAATACCATCACTTTAACAGAAGTACCGAAAACATTGCTAAGATCAATTATTTTCAGAAGCAATATCTTAACAACACAATTCCGTTACTAATATAGAGTGATATATGAAAAATTTCTTATGATTGTACATCAGCTAAAACTACATCCACAACTGTAACAACATTTAAGAAAAAAATGAATTAGTTAAACAGTATAGCAAGAGCACAAGCAGCTCTTTTCATCAATGAGAAATTTTCGTTTTTGTGTATGAAATATTCACGAACACTAAGCCCAACTATTTTGAAATCTTTCAGCCAATATTTAACTTCACCACAGTTCACCGAACTTATTTGAGAATCAAATTAGGCATCGAAGAGCTCATCATCTTGCCCGTTTCAGTACAACGAATAACCAAATATAATTTAAATTTTTCTTGATTGACTTTCAAGCAATATTTTATAAGAATTTGATTTGTACTATTGATTCAACTACGTTTTATTTTGATCTTGTCGTTTTTATTTTCTTATATTTTGATTTAAAACAGAAACACATTGTTTGCTTATCATAGTCAATCAATAGAGCGTTAGTAAAATGAGCATTAAGTATTGCAATAAATAAGTGAGCTTTGTCTGAATTTGATGTCAAAGGATGAAACAAGCTAATAGAAGATCAATGAGTTTTGATTTCAGAAAAATGAATGCTACATATGAATGAATAGATAAATCAGTAGGGGAGTTGTAATTGGAAACCGCGATGCTATCAGACTTGTATTATCCACTATTGGATAACAACGTTTTACATTCGATTCATAATCAAATAGATGAGTAAAGATAGAGCATCTATTATGTATTAGATTAATGGATTGATGAGTGTGGATCACATCGTTTGTAAAATAATTGATGAGCTCCTAGAAGTTGTTGAAGTGAATAATAGCAATTGATTTTCTTTCAATTGAGTCGTATGTTGCTAACATATTAGTCATTACTCTATTCAATCATCTTTTATTTTAAATATTCTATTTTTATTTTCTAGATGGAATGTTTATACGAATATATCTTCTGATGGTAGTATATCATCATTGGTACATAACATTTTAAAGTATTGATGATCATGTTTGAGCAGTACAGCATTTTTCAGATGATCTTATTTTATTATACAATCACAACTTATCATGATACTACGAACAAATGATTTTTTTATGTTTGTTTTTGTTTTTACCACAAAATTCTACAACTTATGGATATCGAACGATCGAATCAGGAAATATGAGATATCTGATATCGGATTATTTTAAAAACTAGTGTTTTCTCTAGAGAAATTGGTTGGATCCGACCTAGTATTCATCGAAATTTTTACAGTTGGATTCCGGGCTAGATCGCACCGGAAAAGTATGATCGATGACAATTAACAACTAGCCATTGTCATGGAAAGTTTGTTTCACAAAACATACAGTGATAAATAAGTGTTTAAGTTCTTAGGCATATTCGAGCTTTAAATGATATTCAAAGTAAGAAAGGTTACTACTGTCAATGGAAGTATTAGTCAATTTTAGTAATGAAATTTCCTGAAATTCATTTCTTTGATTTCATAGAAAATAAAAGTCCTTCTGCATTTACCGTGCAAGAAACTGCAATTGAATTTTATGGAAAGTTTTTCATGTCAATGAAGTGAACTAAACATTTTCTTTTCCGTTATATTAAAGTATTGTTTCTCTTGTTATGAAGATGTTCTATATATAAAATACTTACAATTTAAATGTTATTTTGTCGAAAAGAAAATAATAAGTCTCGATGTATACTCAATATTAATTTTTATTTTCAAAACTTATTCTAAAAGGGTTTTGTCGGCAGATGACGCTAAAATTGAATATTAGAGACTGTTGTCATAGATTCTTATTAAACTGAAAGAGATGAAAGTTTTGATTGCTTTTCTGATGGAAATGTCCCTTTCAATATATATTGATAAATTATTTAAAAAAATTTATTCATCAATGGTGAATTTATTATATAACATTTTTTTCTTTAACAAATAGAACGATAGAATGATTGGATGTTTGATTGACATACAAATTTTTTCTAACCGAGGAAGAAGGTGCACATCGAAGTGAAAATATTGATAAATAGAAAGTTTTATGAATTAAATATATATGTTAATTATTTAATGAGCTATACGTAGATTAAATTTTCGTTTGTTATATTATTCCAATGATTATATTTATAAGTATTTCTCTTAATATATTTAAGATATTTTTTTTTGTACACATGGCTATACGTAATGATGAAATACTGACTATGGATTCACGTGTAACTCTTTCTGATAAAAATACAATGCCACGACTTGGTTAAGTTTAATATAATATATATATTTTTTTTAAATATTTATTTCGATAACTAAAGGTCTTGGAACATGGAGAAGTGAACCAGGAAAAGTTCAAAATATAGTTAAAGAAGCTATATTAAACTGTGGTTATCGACATATTGATGGTGCATGGTTATATAATAATGAAAATGAAGTTGGTAATGGTATACATGAAGCTTTAGAATTAAGTCAAGGAAAAATCAAACGTGAAGATTTATTTATTACAACTAAATTATGGAATCAAGTATAAATAAAAGTTTTATTTTATTTAAAATATCTTATTAAAAAATAATATATATATATATATTTATTTAAGCATCATTCACCTGAAGATGTTCAATGGGCTATAAATGATAGTTTAAAAAAACTTCGATTAGATTATGTTGATCTTTATTTGATGCATTGGCCTATTGCATTTAAAAATATGAAAGAAAATCCATGGTCACAAAATGAAGATAAAACAATTCGTTATTATGATGAAAATATAACACTTGCTGATACATGGAAATCAATGGAAAAATTAGTTGATTTAAAATTAGTACGTTCAATAGGTTTATCAAATTTTAAATCATCACAAATCGATGAAATTCTTAAAATAGCTCGTATTAAACCAGTTGTTAATCAAATTGAACTTCATCCATATTTAAATCAAGAAGAATTACGTCAATATTCTAATAAAGAAAATATTATTCTAACTAGTTATTGTCCATTAGCAAATTTAAAACGATTAAATGAACATGAAGAAGAATCATCACCATTATATAATCCAATTATTCAACAAATAGCTAAATCAATTAATCGAACAACAGCACAAGTTATTATTCGATGGCATCTTCAACATGGTCTTACTCTTATTCCTAAAACAGTTACATTACAACGTCTTTATGAAAATAGTCAAGTATTTGATTTTAATTTATCGGATAATGATATGTATCTTATTGATCAATTAGAAAAAACACATCATAGACGTTTCGTTAATCCACCTATTTCACCACCTGGTCTTAAACATGTATTTGATGATTAACTAACAAACAAATTAAATCATATCTTTTTTTCATATTGCATTTCTTTTTAACAAATAAAATGTTTCAATTAACTATCAAATCAGATGAACTTTAGAAATATCAACAATTAAACTAAATTAATTAGACAACTATACTCAGTAACATTCATCGTTTCATCTTATATCAAATTCATAAGCAGATATCAATGAGACTAGCAAATATATCCAAACAAGTTCGTCTATATGAGCCTTTAATCTTGGGTGAGGTACCCATCACAGACTGTGACAGAGAATCCAGGTACCCATCACAGACCGTGACAGAGAATTCAGTTACCTGTCACAGACCGTGACAGAGAA